TATTTATTCACTGAGTTTGAACTCTTGACTTTAGTTACCTAATATTGGTGATTCGATATTGGATTGAACAGGAAAACTTTTGGTTGCCAAGTTTTCAGGGGGTGGATGAGAGGAGGGAGGGGGTGTGCTGATAATTTTAAGCGGAAGTAACCCGCTGTGGCCCCGAGGCTCCTTTAAGATAATTTACCCAGAGTAACTCTCTCCAGGCCGCTTAGTTCCTTCCGTCTGGTACTTCGGGGGTCGTGGGTACTCTCCTAAGTACCAAGTGCTCTTCCGTGGTGTACTGAGTATCCAAAAAGTTTTGTCTTCATTTTGGGGTGGATTATTAACAGTGGGTAAGAGTGAGGTATTTTGGGACGTAGGGAAAATTGCAACAACTGTAATTTTCCCAAGTTTCTTTGTCTCAAATCGCTGAAGTTTTTATTAAAAGCTCGTCGGTGAGTCTTCTCAGTACTTTTCGTTTTTATTTTTTTAGATGCTTTGGACTCGGTTAGGTTTTTTCGTGAGAAATGGTCTTGGTAATTTTAAGGGTAATATCTGGATAACTTTTCATCGATTGCATTTTTTTCTTTCATTTTTTGAAAGTTAAATAACCAAAAAACCAAAAATTGATGAACACCGGGTAAAAAAAAATTTTAATACGAATATTTTTTCTAAATTTTCAAAAAATTTGTGGAAAACTTTTCGAAATTTTTCTTTTTGAAACGAAAAAAAAATCGGGAAACAAAACAATTGTATTTTTGGGAAATGTTTTGAAAAATTTTTCAAAAATTTGTTTCGGAATTTTTTTTTTTAGAATTTTCTAGAAATTTTTACGAATATATTTTTTTTTTTAATTATACTGTTGTTTTCTTACTTTTTCTATTTTTCAATATTCTCAAAAAATACGCCATCGAAATTATGAAAAAAAAATTTCTTTTCAAATTTTCGTTTTTCCATTTTTTTGATTCATAAAAAAAAGTTTCTGAAAACAAAATAAATTTTTGGAAAATTTAGAAAAAACATTCCGATTACAATTTTTTTACCCGGGCAACTAGACATTAAAATCAAAAATAAATAAAAAGATTTAAACACAGACCTTTAAAACCAGAAAGACAAAAAAAAAAGTAGAAGTTCATTTAATTGAACAAGAGATAAAATCAAACAGAATGGCGGAATCAATATTCATAACAATATTGATTAGTAATGGAGACCAGATGCAGTTATTACAGTTTATCAATTCGTAGTAGAAACGGATTATTCATTAAATTTAATTTACGTTCTCTTGAATTATTAAAATATCAATTAATAGCAATTACATTTTGGGAGAATCGTTTGTCCCTCGTACAGAAGGAGAAACTGGTAATCCCTTATGAGAGACTAAACGGATCTTTACGACGTCAGAATAGACTCCCAACTGCGACTGAATTGGAAGGGGCCAGGGGTTGGGGTTTCGATCGGGGTTAGGAGCCAAGGTAAATACATTAAGGATACAACATCCTGTGGGAGATGCTGTCTGGGGACGAGATTCGATGCTTTATCCCAGCAGACGTCGTTGACCAAGGGGGAACGGAAATTCAGGGGTTTCAGTCTCCATTTTCCACTCGTGTTTGTCTCATCTTGAAATTTTTCAGAACCCTCTTTTCCACTTCGTTGGCTTTAAAATTCCGTCGAGGGTATGATGTCGTTTCAGGAAGGTACGGAAGAATTTGACGGAGATAAATTATGATGAAATGCTAGAAATTTGTTGCATAAGAATTCATTATGAGATACAAGCTGCAGTATCTTCACTATTTTCTACGTTGCAAATGAAAAAAAATAAATGCAACAATTTGATAGCACGAACTTCGCGTGAGAAATTCCCGTGATAAATACGGAAATTGTTTAAATGGTTTTTCAATTTTTCCGTATTATTTATTTATTTATTTTTTCATTTTCATTTTATACTTCAAAAAATTTTCATTAAAATTTCAAGATGTAATTCCCTAATATAAAAAAAATACTAATCGAAATATTTTTTCCAAATTTTCAAAAAATTTCTGGAAAACTTCAAAATTTTTTTTATGAAACAAAAAAAATCGGAAAAGGAAACAATTTTGTTTTTCGGAAAGGTTTTGAAAAATGTTTCAAAAATTTGAATAGAAAAATTTTTTGTATAATTTAGATAGCATTTTTTTTAGAATATCGAAAAATAAAAAAAGTAAAAAAACAACAGTATAATTAAAAAAAAATTATATTCGCAAAAATTTCTCGAAAATTATTCAAAAAATTTCCCAAAAAATACAATTGTTTTGTTTACCGAATTTTTTTTTTGTTTCAAAAGAAAAATTTTCCGAGAAGTTTTCCAAAAATTTTTTGAAAATTTGGAAAAAAATATTTCGATTACAATTTTTTTTACCCGGGTTGTTAGAATATCAAGTAAAAATTCATAGAAATATATTGAACTGATTTATGATGATTACAAAAATGAATCGATATTGAGGGCTCCACGGACTCGCCTCAGAGTTTGTATAAACATAAACAATAGTTTTACAAGAAACCATTGTAGGGTTCTTTCTTTGGTGACGAATGTTCTTATAGTCTTCGTGGCTAGTCCTCAGTCTCTCGGAGAAGTAGAAACACAAAAATGAAGTTCGCCCGAGTCGAAATATATCGAAACGCGTAGGCCTAATTCCTCATTGGTCAACTCGAACCGCCAAATTCAAATTCGGCGCACGAAGTGCGCAGTAGGTTTCGTTTACTCAAATTGAAGAGTCCATTCAATGATTTTTTCGATTACTTCGTGCAGTATATAGCACCGTAATTTATTTCATTGACATAAATCTCTCTGGACCTATCCCAAACACGTAGAACCCTTCTACGTTCACCATTAATCTTCTGCTCCAGGGGCTTCAATCGTGTTCATACTTCTCGCGTCCCACTTTCATCGAACGCATCTCTGTTCAAGTTTTTTCTCCTTCCTTTTAACTTTCCTTTAGCGGACGGAAAAACAGTGGAAAGTAAAAAAAATAGAATGAACAGGAAAGAACTATTTGTCTTTACGACATTGAACCGGCACGTGAGGCGAGTGCTCAAGTTAAACCTGAAGAGAAGTTCCACACCCGGAGAGCCGTTTATCACGTTGTGATAGGAAAACGCGAGTTTACTCCACTTCAACCAATTAATTCCGGACTCTTTTTTATTTCACACGAATAATATCTTCTATCTCTATAAACCATTCATTTTTTTCTCGCAATACTGTCCACTGAATTTGTTCCACCGAGAAAAACTGAGACTAGCATTAGCCGACGATAATATTCCGAACGAAATTGTAGTTAAAAATTATCACCACAAAATACAAATATAAAAATAAATATATTTGTAATTTAAAATATTTGTAAATGTGGAAATTAATTATTACAAAAATGAAAACATGATCAGAATTTAAGATTACAGACATTTTCCTCCATTTTTTCACAACTAAAATTAAATTTTTACTAATTAAACCAGAAACCCTTGAATATTCATTCCACTTCGATTTCTCCCAATCGCATATTATTTTCAAAATTTAATCTACTCGAGAAAAACCTGCGAATGAATTTATATATTGATCAAGAAAATTATTCCATGAAGTTTAAAAAATCGTAATACTTGTCCAATAATTTCTATTAAACAATCCATATCGTTTCGACGAAAGCTCTTCAAACTTGTTATCCCCCGAAGATCGCTTGAGTGAAAAAAATGAAAAATGATCCGTACAAAAATTTCGTCGACTGTAAATCCCCTCAACTAATAAAAGAACTTGCCACTCACCGATATCAATCTCAATCCAATAAACAACCGAGTAAATCGCCAATTCAATCTCCCGACAAGAGATTGTTAACTGAAACTTTAAACACCTCAACTTTTTCCAGAGAAACTTTCCGGGGTGAAAAGCGCTCTCCCGTCAGAAACATTAATACGACCACCACGTGAAACCCACTCTCTTGTTAAACTATTTTTCACGAATTGAAATAAAACAGCATTTTGCGAACAGTTGAAGTAACTCGGGAGCCGCTTATCGCACGTGTGTACGTGGTCTTTCGAATTAGGAAGAGAATCTCGGAGTCCTTCCATTAGATGCTAATTCCACCTCATTAGCATTCCAGTCCAAGATTTTCATCGCAAAGTTCCATGGGATGCGTTTCAGTTGTTGGTAGGAAGGCTGTATCCCTGGGAATATGTTTAAGGAGGAGTGCCCCCATCCCATCAGCTAACAGTTGGCAATAGTGTCTCTGGTTCATACACCAGACACGATTTTCTACTTAGCACCAGTGAGCAAACGCATTTTGAAGGCACCTAGATGATGGTGTACCATGTTCACCGATGGAATCTATCTATAGGATGGACCTCGTGGGACTCCTGAGCATGAGAAAAAAAAAGTATCAGGGAATGAACCTGTTAGTGAGGGTGGATAATATGCTTTCTTTAATGGCTTTCCGTTGCAGCAGTTTTGGGGTGATATTTTTTTTTTCTCCCAGTGGCATGGGGTGACCTTCGATCTTGGCACCCGCAGACGACAGGTCGAGGGCTTTTGTGGAAGATCGATTGATGTTCCCGGGTGGTAACGAAATGTTTTCACCAGAAGTTGGACGTTTAGATGGATTTTGTTGTGCTAGCTGTTAGGATTAATTGAATGATTTCATCAAACTTTTCATGAATGTTTGATATGTGGACGAGAAGGATTAGGAGGACCTCATGGTGTGGAGATACTGGTGGGGTTGAACGCCTCCGGATTTCGTTGACCGACATCAGAGATGGATTGGACCTGAATCACCAGCGGAAATTGAACACCTGTCTTGATTAGAGTTCACTGTTTCCTGGTATTTTATCGTGCTCAACTGCTTCCAAAGTCAGAAGTCCTCGATGATCATCAGATTCTACGGTACATACTTAAATATTGATGAAAAATAAAGCTGCCTTAATTATTAGAGGCCGGAATATCACGCCTGACAAATATTGTACGACCACATGTCACTAAAATGCTATTAATGTTATTGAAATTCTCAGAGAATAATTATAATATTATATTTAGCATTTGGTTTGGATTTTGGCGAATACATGTATTTGTATTTTAAACGAATAAATGTAAAGAAATTGATAAATTGGAGGGATTCGGATAATTACGGAAGGTACTCTAATGACATGAGAAGAAGTACAAGTACTGCTAAGATGGAGGATAAAGCAATTGTTTGAGCACCATCCGGCTCTCCGGTGTTGGTGTTCGTAATCTTGACTGTTCCTCCTAGAACGACCGATTGTTTCGGCGCTAACTGCAATTTGCTGACATCCACAGAATCCCTACAACAGAAAAAGAAACCGAAGATTCCAATTAAATTGAAAGCGACAAGATTGCCATCGATTTGAAAAGTGGTCAATACCCTTCCTTAGTAACTGATTCCAGGGTTGTTACTAGTACTGTTGCTGCAGCGTTGATTGATTTTAGCTGACTGGCTACATCGACGGTTACACTTTCGGTATCAGAGAAGTTGATGATCAGAAGGATTGTCTCGTTCTTTGTACTTCTGGCAATCGTCAGGGTCTTTTTATCGGAGGACACAACAGTTTGGAGATCTCCTGATATCAGTGGAGCTTTTGTCTTCTTCAACTGGACCAGCTTCTGGTAGTTCTTGTAGTGAGAAGCTGACGCTTCCTTCTGCTGAGCTAAGTTCAGGTCGACAAAGTTATCGTTTATCGGGATCCATGGCGTCGTTCCGTTATTGAATCCTGTAAAAAATGTGGAAAAATGGTGGATACTGACGCAGATGATCGGGCAGATGATGATTTAGGTGCTCACCGGCATTGATGTCGTCGTTCCACTGCATTGGCGTTCTGTTCGGATCACGGGACACTAGTTGATACTTGTCGGGCCCGGCATTGCAACCCTGAGGATCTTGAGTATCATTAAAACTGATGTCTGTTTTATCAACCATTCCAATTTCTTCTCCGTTATAAGTAACTGTCACTCCAGGCAAGATCATTGCCAGCATCGTCATCTGATCTCCACGGCCCGGATATCTTGACTCCGTTCTTGAATTGTCATGGTTGCCCATCTGTAGATGATAATCATCAATTGAATGATCAGCTTCCATCGCGATTTGATCAGAAGCTGAAAATATATCTGACAATTGATACTCTTGGATTACGTACCACCCAGTTTGCAACTGTTCCTTTTCTCTTCGTAGTTTCGGCCATCCACTTATCAATGACCGTCTTCACTGCATCAGGTTTTGAATTGCGATTTATATCCGTGATAAATAGAAAATTGAAAGGAACGTGAGCACCATTATCATAATATCTGACTGTGTTATTCCAGCTGGTGTACGCTTCTGTCATCATCACCTGTCAATCATTACACAATCAACATCATGATCCTAATTGGTCTACCGCAGAGAGCAATTACTTTACCTTCTCATCAGAGTTACTGGAATTCGCGAAGTCATCAAGGACTTTTCGCCAGGACTTCACCAAATCATAGGTCTCACTCTGATCTTGGGTGTAATCATGACGCAAATATTCCCATTCATTCTCCGTCGCATTGATGCTAGATCGTGGCTCGTCTTCAAATCCTTCCGATTCAAATAGAAACGGAACAGCATCAACACGAAAGCCATCAATTCCTTTGTTCAACCAGAACTTGATTATGTCCTGACGGTAATTATTAATTCATGAAACACAGGTATTTAGCGAGTGTCATTATGATTGTTTGCAGAACGCGATTTAATGACAGACATCCGGCGACTGCAATTGAAAGTCTCACAGACTAATAAAATCATATCGCGGTGTTGTTTACCTCTTTACCATGACTGCAGGTAAATATAATTCAACATTCTGATCGTCTTCACTTAATGAATCAATATCAATGCTAAAATTGTTGAGATTCCGTTCTTTCAGATGATTCAAATATCATTATCTCATCATTATATGAGTTTGGATATGCAGAAGACAAATCCAAACCGATCCGCAACGCGTGTTATTATTACATAATTATTGGAGTCAGTCAAAAGATAGTTAAAATAATAAACTCTCATTTAAAACCTGATAAACCATCGGCGGAATTTACACTTACAATAATTATAAATGATATAATGTTGTTGTTTTGTAATAAATGGGATGATCACCGATGATAACGAAACGATTTATCTTCAATTTTCGTATGGAAATTCAGTGAATTCTGGAGTTTCCGTTGTTAATCTTTTAAAATCTCTTATCATTGCGTGCGTTTATCATGAGATGATGATCAAATCGATCGAGCTTGCAATATCGATTGCATTCTGCTGGAAAAATTCAGTCTAATCGAATCTAATCTAGGCACTTGTCCGTCATATCGGTATCGATCCGCACTGATCAAGTAGATTAGTTATCTTCGTGTACAGGAAATTGTTCATAATAAATAAAATACTCACTTCCATTTCTTGTTTAACTTTTGGATTTCGGTAATTCAAATCGGGCTGCCGAACGTGGAATTGGTGGAGATACCATGCCGATCGACTAGATTCGTATTTCCAAGCTGTTGATCCAAAACGACTCAGCCAATTATTCGGGGGATCATTTTCTCCGGTTGATGTCCGCCAGATGTAATAGTCCTGGTAGTTTTCATTACCGGCCTTGCTCTGTTGGAACCATTCATGATCGTCAGAGGTATGATTTGGCACCAAATCGAGAACTACCTGAAAAATAATAACAATAAAAATATAATAATAATCGAATAAAAAGGAAATTGAAACAAAAATTGTAAGAATTGTTCCAGGAATTGAAAACCAGTCGTTCCCTCATTCCTCCTAACCACTGAATAATAAAAATTAAATTGTTCACTAATTTTTTCTTTCTCAGATATAATGAATCAAAAATTTTGTGATATTTTAGTTTTGGGTGAAATTCTAATTGAAATAAAATAATAAATACTGTACCTTGATTCCCATGCCGTGAGCTTTTACTACTAATTCATCGAAATCCTCATTCGTTCCGTAATCGGGATGAATTTTTCGAAAATCGGCAATATCATACCCGAAATCTACCATAGGACTAGCATAAATCGGTGAAAGCCAGATAGCATCGATTCCAGAATCCCGAAAGTGCTGCAGCTTGCTCGTAATCCCTGAGTAAATGACAATGACTAGTTACTCCAAATATCGTTCTCAATGAACCCACAAAGTGGTTGAAATCTTTCTTGTAAATTTCTCTGCAATTATTCTACTCCACCGATGCAGAAAAATGAGTAAATGGCGCACAAACTCACCTTTCAGGTCTCCAATGCCATCATTATTGTCATCTTTGAAGCTTCTCGGGTAGATTTGATAGAAGACAGCATTTTTCCACCATCCCACGTTCTTTATTTCACTCGCTACGACATTAAACGTAATGAGGAAAAGAATGAGGTAATGTACTCGCGCCATTGTTGTACCTGAGACTCGCGATCGGTAACGATCCGGCGATTTATATAGGCAACAGTGTCGCTGGTGAAAAAAATTGTCCACTCGATGCTCAAGTTCATTAAGGTGGAACTGAACAAATGATAAGAATGCTCATTGCAAAGAGGTATTCCACGGAAAAATATCATCGCTGGCATTACGACGTTTTTTTTTTCCAGAAAACTGGAATTCTTCGCAAAGTACTCGTAAAACACAAAACAAGATGGTCATTTAAAAAATAAAAGTACATACAAACACTTTCAGGTGAACATGGATAATCAATCGATATTGATTTGTGTCTTTAGAAATAAAATGAGACTGCAATGAGACAATTTTTTCCGTCAATTTTTCTCTTTCTTTCTCTATTTTTTCGATATTTCAGCGTCAACACACGAAAGAATTTTTCTTTTCAAAAAATTTGTATTAAAAAATATTTTTTGGTTTACGGTATATATTTTGTTTTATCGATTTTTTGATGGGGAGACAATTTCTTTGTAATCAAGAACTTGATTTTTACCGTTGATTAAAGAATGATTATGTACAACGGAATCATTGAGAATGAATGAAATTAATTCGGATAACATTTTCATCATCAAGTATGTATTTCACAAGTTCGTTATAACATATATATATTTATGAAATAACTATATAATTCGTAATTTCGATATGATTTTTCCAAAGATATCGATTTATTTTTCACGAAGAATTTGCATCACTTTTTATTTTTTAATCTTGGCGGACACAACGAGAGATTGTTTGGCTGCGATTGACAGTTTCTTCAGGTTGACAGCCGACCTATAAAAAAATGATGACTAAATCAGTGACAACAGCAAACAGTACTTAGTCTGTATTCCGATCTAATTGCAATGATACCCCCCGATTTGATGGGTTTCATTAATAAATCTTGAATGACATACCCTTCTTTAATCGGTGAATCCAGAGTGGCAACTTCAACGAGTCCAGCAGACGCAAGCGAAGGCAATTGGGTTAACAGATTGATAGTGACAGCCTGAGTATCCGAGAAGTTGATGATTAAAACTACGACTTCTGTGTCGGTAGATCTGACCACCAGAAGCGATTTCTTGTCAGCAGATACCAGAGCTTGAGTTTTACCAGTAATAAGTGCTGCTTTTGTCTTCTTCAGACGAATGAGTTTTTGGTAAATCTTGTAATGAGAAGCCTTGGCAGCTTTCTGCACAGCCAGATTCAGTGTGCGATAATTTTCATGTACAGGAATCCAGGGTTTTGTCCCGTTGTTGAAACCTGCATAAAAGATAATCGTCATGCAAAATTTCTGGAATGCACTGATGATGATTCTCACCAGCATTCGTGCTGTTGTCCCACTGCATTGGAGTTCTGTTGGGATCACGGGATTTTTCTTTGAACTTATCTGGTCCAGCATTGCAGCCCTGGGGATCTTGAGTTTCTTCAAAGGTGATGTCTGTTTTATCAACCATTCCTATCTCTTCACCGTAGTACGTCACAGTGACTCCTGGTAAAATCATGGCAAGCATTGTCATCTGATCTCCTCGGCCCGGATATCTACTTTCTGTTCGTGGTCTGTCGTGATTACCCATCTAAAAAATTGAGTCATGGATCTACCAGATCATTTCCCATCAACTCCAAATACTCACCACCCAATTGGCAGCGGCTCCATTTCTCTTTGCCGTTTCTTCGAGCCAATTATCGATAATCGATTTGAACTGATCCGGTGTTGAATTGCGATTTGCACCAGTTATGAAGAAGAAGTTGAATGGAACGTGGGAACCGCTGTCATAGAATCTTGTTGTGTTTCCCAGCGTCGTGTATGCCTCAGTCATCATCACCTTTATTATATAATAACAATCAATCAACAATCTAGTGTCGCAATGATACTAGATCACGGCTGGGTAGCCTCTGTTCTGAGAGCAAATCGTGTTCCCGACTTCTATTAGTGCGTAACAAAGAGTCGAACAGAGCGATAAGTCATTACGACCCGGGAGGTACTGCAAGTTCTAACGCCACATGTTCAACAATTAAAACCAATTCTTCCATCGTCTTCCTCATAAATATTATTTTGTCATCCATCCATTATAGTAAAGAATTAACAAAAATGTGCAATTAAAATTGTTTGTTTATAGTTGATGTCAAAATAATTTGTTGATGGTTTTTTTTGGTGAGAGGGGGGGGGGGCTCCTCTATCTCCGCTGTAATTGTACTAGAACCTCTATAATTGAAATAGATGTGAACATTACGGAATTGCTAATTTGAGATTATTAGATCGTGATAGTAAGAAAGTCTCTTGCCTTCTCATCGGAATTGGTATTGTTTGCGTAATCATCCAACACCTTCCGCCAAGATTTCACCAACGCGTAGGTCTCGGGTTGATCCTTCGTGTGCACATGGTTCAAGTAAGCGTATTCGGCAGAAGTGACTCCAGTTGCATATGTCCTCGGTTCATCCAGAAGATTTTCCACTTCGTATAAGTGAGGAACTGCATCAACACGGAAGCCATCTATTCCTTGGTCTAACCAGTATTTAATTACGTCCTGTGGGTAATTACAGATTCATGAAACACAAATAGCACCTTAATGATTCTCTGTGAAGAGAGTGCGACGCAATTATTTATTTCCGGGGATTCAATTGAGATTGAATCCTTTTTGGATTATTGCTAAGAAAATCGTTCAGTCATTCCATCATTTAATTTTAAAAAATTGATGCAAGGAATAATCTCTAGAGAGGATCCTCTCCAAATGATTCCATTTCCCTGATTAAATTATCCCGAGTGTTTTTTTTTTTACAATTGATTGAAGATTTTTTTTTTCTTTTTTTTTTTAATTCTCATTTTACAGCGCTTTGAGCCGGATGAGACTATCTGGCGAGTGATTAGGACTTTTTAAAGCTGGTTAGCTCTCACCATTCTACTCTGCCAGGAATCGAACCTGGAACCTATCCGTTGTGAGGCAACGACCTTGACCACTACACCAGGCCACCAGGCGGGAAGAATTTTTTTGACTTGATCCGCGTTTCAAGTGTACGGTCTTATTATCGCATCGAGTCATTATCAGCAGTTCCGCCCTGATTTTATTACTTGAAATCGTCTGATAAATCGGATGTCACATCGACAATTTCCTCTCTCGCAGAATAATAACAAACATTAACGATTTGCGGAGATTATCTTATCGGTTTATCTAATCTCCGAGTTTATCGAATGCACTGACGGCTGGAAGTTGCATCAATTACATTTCACTACCGGAAATATAGGAAAAATCGGCAAGACCCTTACTTCCATTTCTCGTTTGACTTCCTCGTTTCGGAAATTCAAGTCCGGCTGTTTGTAGTGGAATTGATGGAAATAGCATTGTTGGCGCGGTGAGGTGCAGTTCCAGGGGGAACCCCCGAAGACACTAATCCAATTGTTTATAACTGCATTACCAACCGGTTTATTAACCCAGATGTAATAATCCTTGTATTTATCGGTTTGGTTGAGACTTTTTTGGAACCACTCGTGCTCGTCAGATGTATGATTAGGCACTAAATCCATAACTACCTGCGAAATCATTAACTCAAATATAAAAACAATCCGGAATTATTATTATTCATAACCGATTGAAGTAAATTAATAATTGCCAATGATAATGTAAGTATTTCAATGAAGACTGTACCTTTATCCCTAATTTCTTAGCTTTTGTCATCAATTCTTTGAAATCCGCGTCTGTTCCGTATTCTGGTTGAATTTTTCGAAAATCGGAGATGTCGTAACCAAAATCCACCATGGGACTGGCATAAATCGGCGACAGCCAAACCGCATCGATTCCGGTATCTTTGAAATGTTCTAATCTGTTTGTAATTCCTAATTCAAAGACAAACAATAATTATTATCGTTATCATAATCGTTGCCGAGAGGATTAATTGCAGATGTTCGTATCCTTAATCGTTAAGATTAAATAACTCACCCTTCAGGTCACCGTAGCCATCACCATTGGCGTCCTGGAAACTTCTGGGGTAAATCTGATAGAACACAGCATTTTTCCACCATCCAACATTTTTTATTTCACTCGTCACAGTATTACAGGTGATCAGGAGCACCATCAGCTGGTGTAGTCTCGGCATTGTTGCTATTTGGACTGTGCGATGAATACTTCGCTGCTTGTTATATACTAAGCTGTGCAGGTATAAAAGAATTGTCCACTCGATGCTCAAGTTTATTAAAGCGAAACGGAGGAAACCTCAGCGATAAGACATTGGTATGATGCATCCGGTGAAAAAAAATCAAGGTGACGGAGACGTTCACTTTATTTCCACCGATATTATCGATTATTAATCGATTACGCACTGCATTCTGTCATTTAAAAAATCTATCATTTTGAGATTTGCTGTGTCGAATTGAAATTTTCAAATCACCAATTGGAGATTAGGAGGGATTTTTAAACGGTTCAACCGAGAAATATCGTCAACACTAATTGACCACTTGCTGTTTATCAAGCTGGAAAATTTTATTCAATTCTTTTTAAGATCTTAACGTAATGTTCGATTCTTTGTTTGGCTAGAGCAAGTTCAATGTGCGAAACAAGTGATGGGAAAAAGTGTGCGGAATGGGAAATTGGAATTGATAAAGTCAGGGACGATTGAAGGATATCAAGGAATTGATGATTCATGAATGGCAGAAGACTCCGTCATATTAAAAAAGTAATTTAATATGTAATAATTGTATTCTTATACTCTTCTGCTAATTCTTGTTTATTCTCTTTATGTGGGTAATGATTTATAACATTGACATTATTTTTATTATTACCATAAACAATGGAGTGCATTGATTGAAAGAATTCCTGCTATCATGCTTTCATTATTTTCCTGCACAAAGAGTTTTATCACAAATACAATCGATGAGATCAATAATTTTCCATGATTACGTTGAGAGACAAATCTGATCACGAAGTATTGCTGTTTTTTCATTCTTCATCCAATTTTATTTCTGGATTTTCGCAGAAATAACTAAAGATTGTTTAGGTGCGATTGGCAGCTTCCTCAGATTTACGGATGAGCTAAAAAGATTTATAAGTAATTATAATCTTTCAAGACAGCAGAAGATCGATATGGATCAAAAATCTCAGTGTGTCTTACCCTTCGTTGATTGGTGAATCCAGAGTAGCAACTTCAACCAATCCCCCAGCAGCAATTGAAGGAACTTGGTTCACCAAATTGACAGTGACAGTTTCCGTATCAGAGAAGTTGATGATCAAGATGATAGACTCAGTGTTCGAAGATCTAACAACCGACAGAATTTTTTTGTCAGACGACACGAATGTTTCTACCTTGCCGGTCAAAAGTGCTGCGTGTGTTTTCCTCAAATGAATGAGTTTTTTATAGATTTTATAGTGAGAAAATTTTGCAGTCTTCTGAGCAGCCAGATTTAATTCCACAAAGTTCTCATTGACAGGTATCCATGTTCTTTCTCCTTGATTGAATCCTGTAACCGATAATGGTAGATCATTCTGCCGATAATCATCAGTAATTTCTCACCAGCATTGATGTCGTCGTTCCACTGCATCGGAGTTCTGACGGGATCTCGTGATTTCTCTTTGTACTTTTCCCTTCCAGCATTGCAACCCGCTGGATCCTGAGTATCTTCATAGCTGATATCAGTTTTATCGATCATCCCGATTTCTTCTCCGTAGTACGTCACAGCAACACCTGGCAGAATCATCGCAAGCATTGTCATTTGATCACCACGTCCTGGGTATCTGCTAGCTGTCCTCGACCCGTCATGATTCCCCAACTAAAGTTCTCTCTAAATTAATACCCAGAAGATATGTTTCTAGATCGTATCATTCAATTGGTACCTACCACCCAGTTAGCAACTGCCCCCGGTCTTCCGGCAATTTCAGTGAGCCACTGATCAATAACTTTCTTGAATTGATCTGGACCGGAAGTTCGATTGACATCCGTTATGAAGTAGAAATTGAAGGGAATCTGGCACCCAGTCTCATAATACTCCGTCGTTTTATTCAGAAATGTGTAAGCTTCCACTGTCATAACCTGTAAAAGGAAATTATTACATCTGTTACTAATCTTCATGGAAAATACGCCGACCGCGCGCATGCGTGCGCATGACAGTATGTCGTCTGTCACAGATTATCCATCTGTAAGATTTCATTTGAAGACAGCACATTCACATGAAATTTCCGGGTTATTATTACCGATGACTCAGTCAGATCCTGAGCTTGTTTCCGGCATTACAAATTTTGAGAAATCTTGAGGGCAATTAAAATAAAAGATGAAGTATGAGTGGAAATGAGTATAAGGCGTGACCAATGAACCATGAGGAATGAGTCTGACAGATTTTAGGCTTCAATTATCGAGAGTTTCGATTCGATTCGATGTAAATGTCCCTTTTAGATAGGATTAGATAGGGTCCTTGTCGGATTGACACCAATAAATCTGGATGTTTGCCAGTCTCACCTTCTCATCGGTGTTGCTAGCATTCGCGTAATCGTTCATAAGCTTCACCCAGGATTTTACAACATCATAAGTTTCGGGCTGATCTTTTGTGTAGAAATGGTCCAAGTAAGCGTATTCTCCATCAACTACACCAGGGAGGTTTGTCCTGGGTTCATTCCTCAGATCTTCAACCTCGAAAAGATGCGGAATTGCATCAACGCGGAAGCCATCTATTCCTTTGTCCAACCAAAACCGGATGATGTCCTGTGGACGATTGCCAGGAAAAAATTAATTTCACTCATTTATTAATTGACGGCACATAAATTGTGTAGAGGATTGAGGTTTAGAGGATTGAATTGGAATTCCTTTGAACTTTGTCCATTGATTAGGTACTGAAGGAAACACCCAATTACTGAAATGTTTAGACAAATGAAGGACTTCAACGGATTGTCTCGAGATCAACGGATAAATCCCTGAAATAGGTCTATCTCTCATTGACTGCCATTTGTCAAGGATTCATTTCTCAAATCGCGATTCATCCGACGGTTTACATCACCCGTTAAGAATGCCGTTATCATCCAACGAATCTTATCGCGATACTTGTACCAGTTGACCTAGATGATTGTCGTAATCTGCGGTAGAATCCGTGAAAGCTTCGAGATCCATGAAATGTTTTGAGGAGATGTCCAAAGTTTTCTGATCGGCCTAGCAGTTCGTACTCTCATCCTTCATGAACAGAATAACCAAAACCGCTTGATAATTGAATAGCACTCACTTTCATTTCTTCTTGGACTTTGTCACTCCTGAAGTTCAAGTCTGGTTGCTTGTAATGGAATTGATGAAAGTAGCATTGTGGTCGAGAAGATGAGCAGTTCCAAGCTGATCCTCCAAACACACTGATCCAATTGTTCAAAGGTTTGCCGTCAGTGGGTTTGTCATGCCAGATGTAGTAATCCTTGTAAGCCTCATCACCAGCAAGACTTTTTTGGAACCATTCATGTTCATCGGACGTATGATTCGGTACTAAATCCATGATTACCTGGAAATACAGTAGCCATCAATGAAGGATTCGCAAAAAGGGAGACGTCTAATCGTTTAATCTTGTACTTTGATTCCTAATTTCCGAGCTGTTGATATCAGTTCAGTGAAATCAGCGTCAGTCCCGTAATCAGGATGGATCTTCCGGAAATCAGAGATGTCATAACCAAAATCGACCATCGGACTGGCATAAATTGGAGACAGCCATACCGCATCGATCCCCGTCTCCTTGAAGTGATCTAGCCTTTTCGTAATTCCTTGCATAAAGACGAAAAATATGACTGGTGCACATTGAAGAGGTTAGGCGGAGTCAGGGGAATTTACCTTTGAGGTCTCCAATCCCGTCGTTGTTATCATCTTGGAAACTCCGGGGATATATTTGATAAAACACTGCATTCTTCCACCAACCGACATTTTTTATTTCACCCGCAACTATTCTGGTGGCAATCAGGAATACGATGACGCACGGTAGACGCGCCATGATTTCACTCACTGATGACCAGTACAACTGATTATATAGGAGATAAATGAAAAAATGTTCAGCTGGTGCTTGAGCTCAAGGTACGTCAGAGTAAATCTTGGAGATAAAGCGTTATCGATTTGCACTTGATAATTTCTGTAACTTCATAATAATGAACTTTTACAGAATAACGGAGATTATCTTAGAGTGTTCATCCAGAAAATGGAATCACGATTAAATAACATTATTGAAAAAAATTCCCATTGTTATTTCTAAGTAATCGTTTTTCCATTTTGTGGCCGTAATTAGTAGTCCCGTAGAGGATCGTGGGGATTCGAACGAAGGAAATCACTGGATCTGAATCGAATGCGAAAGTTTATTAAAGTAAAGACGTGTTGATAAAAATACATAAGATTGTGTCATCGACTGAATAATTATGACTCGAACAATTGTAATTACAAATGCGTGTCAATATTCTTGGAAGGAGCATTATTGACACGTGAGCGTATAAAAATTGAGAGAATAATAATACTATGGATTGCAATGAATAAATATACTATGATTAATTATTACGATAAGAACGCTGCGAGGAACACGAGAACGCATACAGCTGAAGAAACTAGAAGCGATCCATTGTTGCTGGTGGAATTTGGTGGGTTGTTCGTGGTCAATTGTTCGTGGAGTATTGTAGACATAACAAGCGCTTGATTGCGCCCAAGAGTTAGCTTGTCAAGATTCACTGATGATCTGCGTAAATAAATGAGTAATTAATGAACTTGGAGATACACTTGGTACTTCATGCTCTTATGGAAATGTCTCTCACCCTTCCTTGATCGATGATTCTAAAGTCGCAACTTCGACAGTTACTTTTTGACCGATCGAAGGCACGTGTTCCCGAACATTCAAAGTGACAGTTTCGTTGGAGAAATTGATGACTAGAACAATGCTCTCATTTTTTTCCGATCTAATAACCACCAGTGATTTATCATCAGCTAGTGTATCAATTAGAAGAGTTCCTGAAATAATCGCTGCTCTCGTCTTCTTCAGGTTGATCAATTTCGCATAGATCTTGTAATGAGAAGCGTTCGCTGCTTTTTGCGCAGCCAAACTGATGTTCACGTAGTTCTGGTGGATGGGAAACCAGGGCTTCGATCCATTATTGAATCCTGTAAAAATTGCGTGCAATTGAGTTGCTTTCAAGTCCCAAAAGGATTGATCGCTTGTTCCTTTTTTCAAGGGAGATCATTCCTGCAGATTATGGATGATTATCAATCAGAACTCACCAGCATTCGTGGTATTGTCCCACTGCATCGGAGTCCTGCTGGGATCTCTGGAATACCTTTTGTAGTTGTTTGGTCCTGCGTTGCGTCCAGCTAAATCTCGAGTGTCCTCAAAGCTCAGGTCGGATTTATCAACCATTCCGATTTCTTCACCGTAATATGTCACTGCAACTCCTGGTAATATCATCGCTAGCATTGTCATCTGGTCGCTTCTACCTGGATGTCTAGTTGCAGTTCTCTTTTGGTCAGAATTGCCCGTCTGCATTAAGACATTTATTAAATTGATGCTGGTCAAAATTTCTTGTTTAGACAATCAAGCAAAGCACAATCAGAAAATATCATCATTCACTCACCACCCAGTTAGGAATAACTTCTCTCTGCTGAAATACCTTCAGGTGATAGATACTCATCCATGAGAGTACGAAGTTCTGGAACTCACGCGGACTAGAACTGCTGTTTGTATGAGTTATTAAGAAGAAGTTGGATGGAATTTGGACGCCGGATTTGTAATAATTTAGTGTATTGTCGAAATCCGCGTAGACTTCCGTCATTAGCACCTGCATCGTACAATTCATAAATTAGAAAAAAATGAGATTCAATATTTTTTCAAGTCAATTCTTTTCCAAATAGTTGTCTCTCCAATTATGCACTACAATTGATGAGGGGGGAAAATAAAAGTGATTACTTTTTCGTCCGTATTCCTGGAGTCGGCGTAATCACGCAGAAAATTCGTCCAGTTTTGGACGAGCTGATAGGATTTGTTTTGATTTTTCGTGTAGATGTGTTCCAAGGAGTTGTAGCCATCATTAGCTACACCCGGGAAATAGAATAGGGGTTCGTCCAGATAGTTTTCGTCCTCGAATAAGTAAGCAGCTGCATTGATGCGAAAACCATCTACCCCTTTATCTAACCAGAACCTCATGATATCCTAGAGACAACAAAACATTTCAAATCATATAAAGATTAATTTTAATTACCTACTAATTAGGGTGAGTCAACCGAGAGCATAAATAATTATGGAATTCCTATTATCGAATCTGAATATATATTATGAGATTAAAATTGATATATAATGAGATTTAAAAATTGTATGTGAATTGTCATTGAATTATTGCTCGACAATTGTAATAATTTTTCATTTACTGAAACTTTATTATTATTTATTATTATTTGATACTAAATTTTATTTTTTTAATTGAAAAATAAATGTCTATTGAAATAATTTTCTAATAAATTGAATTAATCATTAATTATTTGAATGTTCATCATTTTTTTACGTATAATTTTGCATTAACTAATGCTGTATTCTTTGATACTAAATTTTATTTTTTTTAAATGAAAAATAATTTTCTGAAAATTCTGAAAATTTGAAAATAAAATAAATTTTGATTAAATTATTCCTTGACGATTATTATAATTTTTCATTAACCGAAAATTCTGTATTATTTGACCCAAAGTATCAATATTTTTATTTGAAAACGAGATAAAATGAAATTAATAATTAATTATTTGAACGTTCACAATTTTTCTACTTGTCAATAAAATTTTGGTTTCGATATTTGAGTTGAAATAGATTTTGAGGTTCTCATTTCTCGAGGTTCTGCGAAGATGGGAATATTTACCAAAATTTCCACTTGGACGTGCGGATTGTTGTAATTCAACTCAGGTTCATTCGAATGGAATTGATGGAGGTAACAGTCTTTCCGGTATTGGGGACACTCCCAAGCTGATTTTCCGTAAATATTGAGCCAATTGTTTGGGGGTTTACCATCAACAGTTCTATTACGCCAGATGTAGTAATCAGCATACCTCTTATCTTGAATGTTACTTTTTAAAAACCATAAGTGCTCCGTCGACGTATGATTTGGGATGAACTCCAGGATCACCTAAACATTAATAAAAAATATTTTAAATTGAAAAAAAAAAAACAAAAAAAACACGGAGAGGAATATTCAGTAAAAAATAATAAAACAGTTCATGTAATCTGAAATATTCATTAATTTCTCAAGTTCTTCCCAAAAAAAAAAATACAAAAAACGTAATTTTTATTATCATAACTATTTCTAGTAACTTTTACTAGATTTTTCTCTCCATGCGGAGCATTTGATTCACAATTTTCTCTTTATCTATTGATTTAATTTTTTTTTAATTCTCTAGAATTTTTTTTACGACATTTCACATTCGCTTTATACTCCACCTTAATTCCCAATTCCTTGGCTTTTTTTATCAGATCGTCAAAATCTTTCGCATTTCCGTACTGGTAATGGATCGCTCGAAAATCGGAAACGTCGTAACCGGAATCTTTCATGGGGCTAGCGTATATTGGTGATAACCAGATCGCATCGATCCCAGTCTCATGTAGATATTCTAGTTTACTCGTTATTCCTAAAAAATACATTAAACAAATGATAATAGTAATAATAATAAACACGTGATTAATAATAATTTCAAATTTCCCGGGTTTTACATCAAAAGATTCAAATTAATTTCAAATTTCATTGAACGAATCCCGATCCTGATTTTTCAGTCGAATTAATTATTTTTTAATTAAGAATTTCCTAGTAATATTGACATAAAAATGTTTTTCCTCTGCGTGAACCTTCCATTAATTGAATATAAACATTTCTGATGATTCATGATTCACTGTACTATTTCCTGAGATTTTCCCAGATTTTTCTTCAGCCAGAAATATTTTTTATTTATTATCGCACGAAATCGTCACTTTATGTTTATTTAAATCAGGCACATTTAACCGAAATCTCACATCATCCGGAATCATTATCCCACTGAATTTATTATCAAGATGTGAGATATTTGAGGCAAGAAATTAATTTCGTGATATAAAAACGATATTTCCATCAGTGCAGCACTTGGCGTGCAAAATCTGATGACAAAATCAAATGAACTAAGCACGACTCATTTCTGCACTTTGTTGCTAATCCAGAGTACCCACCCTTGAGGTCACCAACTCCATCGTTATCAGCATCCTTGAAGCTCGGTGTATATATTTGATAAAACACAGCATTCTTCCACCATCCGACATTTTTTATTTCACCCGCAACGACATGAATCGCAATTAAAAGCACGAGACAATGTAGTCTCGTCATTGTCGTCGTAATAACTCCGCAAAATTACTCACAGCAACTTCTTATATAGCGATCTCTAAAGCTCGTCTTCAAGGATAAAACGATCTAGACCTGAGTAATGACACACAGTCATGAGATTCAGTAGAACCTCACATTTTGGGCTATCGGAGAATCAACAATGAGTGCGCGTGGAAAAATAGAACAATTACGAAATTTCTCTCCATTAAGCCTTGAGATAAGAATAATAAAGCTTAATCTTCTGGTCGAGGCTGGAGTGAGGTGTAAATTTCGGATGGTATTGGAAGTGATAAGATAAGTCAACTTGGTTAAACCTGTAAGACTATTCCTCGAAGGGGTCAATAAAACATTTCCATGTAGTCAGCGCTGAGTAAATCATTGATGTCAAGAACCTAGAACCTATTTGCTTCAATCTTGGATTTCCTTGAAAAAAATTTGATGGCTGACGTAACTAATATAATTTCTGGGAAATACCTTCCGAAAAAATTCAGGAAAACTCATCGCAGGCGCTGAGAAACGAAATCTTTTATTCAATTTGTGGATAATTGTTATGGTAATTATTTCCGTCGTTCGGAGGTGAAAGGATTTTAATCATAATGTCTGTCAGCCTGTCGTGAAGGTCATTTGACAGAATAAATTTTTCTTTTTTATAAAGCGACTGCCACAGGGAATCATCAAAAAATGAAAATCAAAATTTCCACGAAAAAAATTGTCAGCAGTAATTAATTCCGTTGATCTCTTCTCATTAAAAATTCGGTATTCAAGTAAAATTAATAATAAATTTAAACAATTCATCGGGGGATCGTATTAAAATCTATATTAATTAAATACAATATTTAAAGTACGTTTAATTTAAAGGAAAATTATAATTATTATTGAAAACTAATTGGAGTCACTGGGAAATAACTCAATTGAAGAAATAATTATTTGAAGAAACACATATTTCTTTGAAGTAAATGAATCGCTGGAAAAAATGAGGGTTCTCTGAGTGTCAGAGTTAGGCTCGATTTTCTGCACGAGAGCAGACGGCAGTTTGAAAATTCAACGCCAGTGCAGAACTATTCCATCCAGTCTTGTTAAAATCCAACGAGAAAGACCTTTATCTCCAGGGATATGTACCAACTTCAACATTTGAGATATTCTCTCCTTAAAGATGTCTCGTGCTTCTTATCCCGGGTGTCTCCATGAAAAAATGTCTGACTTTCATATACATTCACAACCTTTTTTTTTTTCACTTCGTCTTTGTACCTCTTGACTACCAGAATGTGCGATCGTCCGCACCACATGTAGACATTCCTCTCTTGATATCGAATTGCTTAGTCACATGTGAAGACGCCAAAAGAAAGGTGATGGCTCTTGGAGATCCACATCCGGAGATCTAGCTGGATTTCGAGGTCTCACCTGGATATTCTGGAGGAAAATTCCACGTTTTTCCTACCAATTCTCGCATGGCTTCCAGGAATCTTTCCTGAACGCCAGTTCTAGGAGTTTTCTCCTTCCAAAAGATTCCCCGAAAGTAAATTCCGGAAATAATTCACCACTTTTTATTAAATTTCCCATTTTGATTCCCAATGGAACAATTGGAATCTTGAAATTTAAATTTTTTTTTTTTTAACATCGAACTTTTATATCAGATAAAAACTTCAGTAAATTTTATTCCTCTAGCTGATATATTAGCTGTATTGTTGGATCCTAATCGTGTTGATTTTTTTTTACAATGTTTTACAAAATTTTTGAACAAAAAATTTTATGAAGTTCTTCAATGATATCTTCAAAAATTTGTCTCGATGTCAGAAAAATTCCAAAAAATCGAACTTTTAAAATATTTCCGAGTCCTCAAACTGTCGCGGAATATTCCACTTCACCCGAATTTCATAATAGTTATTGAATAATTAATAATAAATTAATTTCTGCTGATTTCGAACTTAAAAAATTTTTTTGAAGGTCAGTTTTTCTGTTTTTTTAGTATTCTTTGGTTTTCTTGATTTATTATATTCCAGATTCATTCGATTATGTGTGACCGGGATATTTATTCAATTTAATATTTATTTAACGATCACTATTGCTGATTTATCAACAAAAAAAATTGCACTATATGGGATGAAAGAACAATTTTCTAGTTATTAATCTCCACATTATTTTTTTTTTGTCGTAGGACTTGAGGCTGAATTGTACTACGTCAGAGAAGGTGTTGTCAATGGATATGCAATGACATTTGTAGTGCCAGTGCCAGCAAATGTTGCGGATTTAGAATTCTCGTGGCAGAGCCTCGTGGGATATCCGGTGAGTAAAATCATAAAAATATCGTCCATCTTATAAAAAAAATTGAATTAAAAAAAGCATCCATAAAAACAACTCCAACACACAAGAAATTAATAAATTATTCCAGTAAAACAACAATTAATTTTAAATATGAAAGAAAAAATTGGAATTCCACATTAAATTATTCCTCAATCTATTCACAAAATTGAAATAAATATTTTTTAATTGAACCCGAGTAATTTCTAATCTAATTATTCCAATATAATCAGCGTAATTTAATCCTAGGCTGTCGAAAGCAAAAAACGGGAATGTCAAAGAATTCCAAACATTGGAATTGAATTAATCCGTTTGATCCAATCACAACGCATACAATCATTAACATGAATCACGTCAGATAATGTTTATGTTTGATCGTGCTATGAAATCCCCGTAATTGGTACAGTAATCACCGAGTGATTTAAATACCCCGATAATGATTCATATCCCTGAATAATTAATTTTTCATTATCCCCACGGTTTATCGTTCAAATGAAATATTTTCCAGGAGTGCGTGCAGTGATATGCAATAATTTCTCGGAACCCTTCGATATTTACCCCCAAAGTACTCACACCCTTTGACATCTTGTCTCTCTCCCTCGGATCATGATCGTAAGTTTGCGTTAGTCACAATGTTTACTCTCTTTTTACGGCTGGAAGCACTCGAACGTGGGTTAATGGACCTGTCCAAAAGTATTTTTCCATGACATGATGAAACTTCTCTGTCATTTTTCAACATGCAGCTCATGTTACTGATTAATTTCCGAGAATTTTAAACGGCTTTTAGCGAATTAAATTCTCAGTAACGACAGAGAAATATTTCTTCGGGAGAAGTTTTCCCGAAACTTCAGTGAAAACGTGAATAATTACTCGGTCATTTTTACTGAATACTGTTTTCATCGGCAGATTACCGAACGGGTACTTCTTTTTTATTGAATTTTTTCTTCGTGGATTGAATGCGTTTCCCATTCAGATTTTCCATTCCAGAGTTTATGTTTTCACGAATTCTGGAATACATTGTGAAATTAATATATCAATTGCGCATCTTCCCCTCCTCTCCACCCTTTTTGAGGTATTTTATGATTGAATGATTCATTTGTTCCCGTCAAAGCTACTGGAACATCAAAGCCATTTCACAATTTCAATAATATCATGTTGACAACAGGAATATTTAAGAGAATTCCGGCACAATCCATCCGCAATTACAAATTTTATTAAAATTTATCTGCAAATCTTCCATTATTTTCCATAATCACGTAATCAGTCAAAAGAGAATATTTGTTTTAGTTGATTTTCATAACAAATAATGATTCAATTAAAATGACACATTACATTACACATGACAATTAAAATGGCACATTAAAATGTAATGCATTAAGTAAAAATAATGATAAATATGAAATATATACGAAAAAATATTTTATTATAATAATTTGATATAATTAAATTTTTTAATAATTTTATTTAAAATAAAATTTTTATAATTTTGTATGAAATAAAATTTTTATAATTGTTAGAGAAAATTTAAATTGTCGCGGTCAATTTGCATCGACTCCATATCTAATATCTGTACTGTTCTCCTACCCCTTCATTTTTGATACAGATTATCATTATCCTTTTTCACCAACTAATCATAGAGAATAGCGTTTTTATGTAATCCAAAGATTTAAGCATTTAAGATGTGAAATCCAATTAGATTGAGATCATTAAACTTCCAATTAGAATTAAACCAAGTGCATCGACGATTTATTTCGCATACCTCCAATAAAATCAACAATAATTTTATTATATTGTCAAATTTATTAAATAATCTTGAAACAGTGAATGTGCTAAAATTACAAAAAGTAATTCTCTCCGACTGGTGTGTTACTTCCTTACACCCCATGTCATCGAAACAATTACCGAACCCCATATCAACAGAGCGAGTTGAAAAGCTCGACAAAGCCCAGCCAGATAAACAATCATTGAAAATCACTTTTCCCCCCAACCCGCAGCGAAGAAACTTTATACCAATCTCGTGTGAGTTTAACCGTTAAAACATAAAATAGAAGTCTTTCCCACTGTCCATTAACACAACGCTGGGGTAACAATACGGAACAAAGTAAACACTGAGCAGTAACAATGGCCGGTGTATACCGTTTGCTGGCATTTGGTCAGAGAAAAGTGAGAGGGAGATAAATTGTTGGGGTTGAAGCGATTCGGTTTGATGCTGCGAGGGGTACATTCCCGGGTGTTTGCGAGACGTGTCCTTCTTCCCCCCCTTATGAAACACCAGCTAGGGGAAGGGGTATCGATACTCTATCAATATGAAATACAAACAGTACATGGTAGTGGTTAGGTTTGCGTTCGACTCATTCCCATCCCCTCTCCACCCCAGCGTCACCTAGGAAACCAGCGGTGAGTGTTGGTACACCCGAAAAAAAAAGACTGTACTGCCTCTCACGATTTCTCGTCTGGCAATTGGTACTACATACTTCCCAAACTCGAAAACTTGAAAATCACTAAAGAAAAAGAGTAACCGGCCGTTTAGGATGGGCTCTTCTTACTCGTTTTGTTATCCCAACGCACCATCTCCACAAAAAAATGTGCCTTCCCCCTCAGAACTGGGAGCAAGTACTTTTTGTACTGACGAATAGATAGTGCACTTCGTGTACTCGAGTATACATCATATTTTTTAATCTCTCGCAAGTACTAAAGGACTTCATGGAAGTACCAAGTCAAGTACGGTTTAATCTCTGAGAAGTACAATTCGAGTACTAACAAAAGTACTTTTTAAAAGTTTTGTCTGAGTACCAAAGTACTTTTGTACTTGCTCAACGTACTTTTGGAACTTGGAACAAAAAAAAAGTACATGTTTCAAGTACTCGAGTGCCTTCTTAGTTTTATTGAAAAGTACTGAGTTATAAAAACTTTCTAAATTCACGCTGGAGAAATATAAATTTGAGAGATTTATTTTCATTGGTGCTTTTTTAAGGCGTCGTCTGAGTACTGAAGTACTTTTGTACTTGCTCATATCAACGTACTTTTGGAACTTGGAACAATGAAAAAGTACATTTTCCAAGTACTTGTGTGCCTTGTTCATGTTATTGAAAAGTACTAAGTCACTAGAACTTTCGGAATAAGTAAAGTACTAATTCCATGTACTTTGGGATTCGAGTGAAGAAAAAAGTACTCGTTCCAAGGATTCGAGGGAAAAAAAAATTGGAAGAGGGGGATTCCCGGAGCTATTTCGACCCTCTGCCGCTCTATCGCGCCGGAGAGACGCAAATTTGAAAGACTTCGTTTCTCGTTTTGCCCTCAATCAAACGTTAAACGACAAGGAAATTGACGCTGGGCTACATTGTAAGGGGCACATCGTTTTGCCCACCCCAAATGGAGATGTAAGAAATGCTAGGGGAGTATGAGGGAAGAATTTGGCGGTGGGAGATGGAGAGTCCGGAGTCAAAGGGAATAATTGAAATGGTTTACTGGGAGAAATTGTTTTTAAGAATGTTTTTGAAGGGTCGGAGGTTAGGGTGCCCCCAAAAAAATGATTCATTGCAATTAAATTAGGTTTATTTATTGCAACAAAATATATTTTTTTTTATTGACAATGAATTTGTATTTCAAATGGCAACTGATTTTTTTTCTGATTCAATTAAAATTTAATACAAATATTATTTTTAATGAAGATTTTTGATTTATTTAAGCAAAATTATTCGACATTTCCAGGTTTTTTTTAATAGAATGAAGTCGATAATAAAATTATGACGCAGGTTTTCACAGGATGATAAAATAATTCGGTTGGTGTTACCGAGGATGCAGTAATAATTCCCGAATGATGTTTTTGTATTTGAGCAACTCAATATTTAATAATCAATAGTTCAAATGTTCTGCGATGGCGTGTTCATCCAAACGAGTCATTCGGTCAATTACTGAATGGTTAGTCGAAGTGACAAAGGGGCTCACCATTTATTAATAATATGTTCTCATTAGTCATACATCTGTGCATACATTAGGGCATATATAAAAACTACTCTTAAAAAATTATGAAAGAAGATTAAGACACTTTAACAATGGCCACGTGGAGCTCTCGCGTTAACACTTTATCATGTTAATTCAATAATATTTTTTTAAACTTATTTATACATTATTTGTGCATTTACTACATTTCAGTAAAAAAAAGATGAAATAAAAAGGTTTTGTTTTATTAAGGAATGATGTAAAAAAAGCCGCAGAGAAGAAAAGACTGAACTGAATTAATTCGGTGACGCATCAACCGAATTATTGTATCAGTCGCTGCCCAATGCAATCATGCCTCGAACAATAAATCCGAATGAAAAATATTATGGCAGATAGTTAAATTCCCTCTCCGCTATTGAGTGTCAAAGTTTTTCGCCGGTGGAGAGCGTGAATTAGGTAATAAGCGATATCGACTCAACTTTTCCCAGTTACACTCGAGTGGATGGGGAAAATGGGGGATCGAAGGGGTAGAATGGGAAAGACATCAAGAATCAAGAGGGTAACTTACTAATTAGCGATGGTAATGGTAAAAACGATGGTCGGTTCATCATTGGCTCCCAAAGGGCACCAGAATGTAACTACATTTTACCACGTACTACAGCCTCGTAAATTCCAAGAGGTGGAGCGAGTCGGAAAATCGGCAGTTAATGGAATGAATAATGACTCGATGCTGTAGACACCACCGTGAAATAATAAGGAGTCTGGGCTCTTCGGGGCTTTTGAATTTTCGGCATTTTCTATATTGGAGGAAGAACAGTGCACGGGCTCTGGTGCATCCAAATTTCTCACTCGATTTCTCATCGATTATCGGTTTTGTGTAAATTCTCAACGAAAGTACTTCCTAAATTTACCCGAAATCCATGGGAACGGGGAATAAAATACCAATGGAATTTTTACGGTAAAAATATGTGGGATTCATGTTTACGGCAAGAAAAATTTCCATTCAATCCATCATCACTTCATCAAATATTGATTTTCACTTC